CCAGGTGGAGACGCTGCTGCAGGCGGTGAGGCTCCGTTTTCCCCCTAGAGCTCAGACGGCCACGCCGGGCGGGAGACACCCGAACGCCTCGTCTGCAGGCCGGACAAAAGTAGTGCCAGGGCTGTGGCTTCTGCCACTGTTTCAGTCAAATACAGACCCTTTGATTTTTAAAACTTTTTTTTTTGCTTTACGTCTCAATTCCCCCCCAAAATTGGCCTTTTTTTCTTTGCCTTTTCGTCTCAATTTCGCCCAAAAACTGGCTTTATTTTTGTTTTGTCTTTTTCTCAATTTCCCCCCCAAAATTGGCCCTTTTTTCTTTGCCTTTTCGTCTCAATTTCACCCTGAAACTGCCCCTTTTTTGTTGCTTTTCTGACTCGTTTGACCCAAAAACTGTCTTTTATTTGTATTTTTTTACTCCGTTTCATCCTAAAACCTGCGTATTTTTGTTTTTTGGGTGGCTGAAAGCAGAACGTTGGTCCACAAACTGATCCTCAGATTAAAATGGTTCTGAGAGCGAGCGCTGACCTCTGGCTTCTGGTCTGTGGCAGGACATGAGGACGATGAGTTCTGGGAAACCGGCTCAGCACGCTGGGGAGGTGGAGGCCGACCTGGAGAAAGCCGACGGGATGATCCGCCTCCTCTTCAACGACGTGCAGCTGCTGAAGGACGGGCGCCACCTGCAGGCCGAGCAGATGTACCGCAGGTGCAGAGCGGCCGGAGAAGCTGCCTCAAACAGGCTGCTTCCTTGCTAGCATCCTTATTATCCTCCTTCCTTCCTTGCTTACTTGCATCCTTCGTTCCTTCCTTCGTTCCTTCCTTCCTTCCTTCTTTACATACATTCTTCACTGCTTGCTTACTTTCTGACTTCCTTGCTTCTTTACTTCCTTGCTAGCATCCACTCTCTCATTCCTTCCTTCCTTCCTTCCTTCCTTCCTTCCTTCCTTACCTCCTTACATACATTCTTGTGTCCTTCCTTCCTTTTATACATTCCTCCGTCCTTCGTTCCTTGCTTGCTTCCTTACTTTCTGACTTCCTTGCTTCTTTACTTCCTTGCTAGCATCCACTCTCTCCTTCCTTTCTTGCTTACTTACATCCTTCTTTCACTCGTTCGTTCCGTCCTTCCTTCCTTACCTCCTTATATACATTCTTGTGTCCTTCCTTCCTTCTATACATTCCTCTGTCCTTCCTTCCTTGCTTGCTTCCTTACTTTCTGACTTCCTTGTTTCTTTACCTCCTTGCTAGCATCCTTATTCACCCCCTTCCTTTCTTCCTTACTTACATCCTTCCTTCGTCCCTTGCCTCCTAACCTCCTTCCTTCCTTACATACATTCTTCCTTCCTTCCTTTCCTTCCTTTCTTACACACATTCTTCCCTACTCTTGTTCTGCAGAGTGTATCGGCTCCACGAGCGTCTGGTCAACCTGCGCAGCGAGTACAGCCTGAGGCTGAGGGCGGGCGTGGCCGCCTCCCAGGGCTCCCTGACCCAGGTCCAGATCCCCCTGACCCAGGTCCAGGGGTCTGTGACGCAGGTCCACAGCGCCCAGGTCCTGCAGCAGTCCTCCTCCAGGGCCCGGCCGGAGCTGGACGAGGTCACCCTGCGCTACGTGCAGGAGCTGATGGGCTGGGTGGAGGAGAACCAGCGGCGGGTGGACGGGGGGGACTGGGGCTCCGACCTGCCCACCGTGGAGTCGCAGCTGGGCAGCCACAGGGGCCTGCACCAGTCCGTGGAGGAGTTCCACTCCAAGATCGAGAGGGCCAAGGCCGACGAGGTACGAAACATCTTATAAAATCCTGTTTACAGCTCCTGAACTTATGTTTCCACTATAGTCTGTCATATCTGCTGGAACAGAGCTCATTTAGTGGAAAACGGAGCTGGTTCTGGAAGGAAAAAGCAGAAATTCAGAGTTTAAATTTGAGATATTCTGATTTAGTTGTATTTTTTTTAGTAATTTATCCTACTCCCAAATTAATTTATGGGATTATTTCAGCTTCTTTGGAAAAACTGACATCATCCTTGTTTATACGACTCATTTGCTCTTCTTCTGTCTTTTTTATTAGCTGTAAATTCAGGATTTAAGGGGTTATTATCATAATTTCTTTTTTCTTGCTTTCAGATGTAAATTTAGGAGTTTAAGTTTAAGGTTTATTTATCATCGTTTTTTATTTTTTATACGACTGATCTTTTCTTTTGCCTTTTGCTATTAGTTTTAAATTTAGGATTCAAATGGTTGTTTATTGTCCTTCTGTGCTTTGTCTGACTGATATTTTCTTCTTCTTCTGTGCTTTTATTTGCTGCTGCCGTCGGGCCTCTGTTTCTGCTCCAGAGCCAGATTTCCCCCGTCAGCAAGGCGGCGTATCGCGAGTACCTGGGGAAGCTGGAGCTGCAGTACGCCAAGCTGCTGGTGAGTAGGGCGCCGCCCGCCCGCCGGACGCCGCCCGGCCGTCCTGACGCCCGTCTGCCTCCCTCAGAGCGCCTCAAAGGCGCGACTACGCCACCTGGTGGAGCTGCACGCCTTCGTCAGCGCCGCCACCAAAGAGCTGATGTGGCTGAACGAGAAGGAAGAGGAGGAGGTCGGCTACGACTGGAGCGACAAGAACCCCAACATGGCCTCCAAGAAGGACAGCTACTCGGTAGGGCGCCGGCGCCGGGTGGGCGGGGCCAGGCCGGTGGGCGGGGCTCTGATGGCCGTGCTGGTTCTTGCAGGGTCTGATGAGGGAGCTGGAGCTCAGGGAGAAGAAGATGAACGGCGTCCAGACCAGCGGAGACAAGCTGCTGAGAGACGGCCACCCGGCCAGGAAGACCATAGAGGTGAGAGCTGCCAGCAGGCCCCGCCCATATCCCCTAGCAGGCCCCGCCTATAGCCGGAACAGGCCCCGCCCATATCCCCTAGCAGGCCCCGCCCATATCCCCCCCAGCAGGCCCCGCCCATATCCCCTAGCTGGCCCCGCCCATATCCCCTGGGAGGCCCCGCCCATGTCCCAGCAGGGCTGCTATCTTTTTATCTTTTTATTATTTAGCTCCTTCCCTGCTTGTTTGTTTGCTTTCCTGCTCACTTATTCCCTTCTTCACATCCTTGATTCCATACATGCTTCCTTGCTAGCATCCTTGTTAGCATCTTTCCTCTTTTGTCTGGTCTGGTTCTGGTGGTTCTGGGGACACCAGTCCCAGATGAAGGGGGCAGGAAGCCTCTAACATGGCTTCCCTCTAACATGGCTTCCCTCTAACGTGGCTTCCCTCCTCAGGCCTTCACCGCTGCCCTGCAGACCCAGTGGAGCTGGATCCTGCAGCTCTGCTGCTGCATCGAAACCCACCTGAAAGAGAACACAGCCTACTTCCAGGTGGGGAAAAGAGCACAAAGTCAGACTAAATTCTAGATATTCTGATTTATTATTATTTATGTCAGTATTTTGTCTGAATCCCAAATTAATTTGTGGGATTATTTCAGCTTCTTGTGTAAAAACAGAAGTCTTTCCATCATTTTAGTGTAAAATCAGCTCCTATTGTCAGAGGATTCTTTATCAAACTGAGCAGTGAGACACTTGAGCTGTTTCCAGCTCCTGAACTCATGTTTCCACTTCTGTCTGTAATATCTGCTAGAACAGAGCTTATTTATCAGAACTGATTCTGGAGGCAGAAAGCAGAAATTCAAAGTTAAAATTTTAGTTCATCTGATTTATTTGAATTTCTTTTAGTCATTTATCTGATTCCCAAATAAATTGATGGGATTCTTGTGGAAAAACTAACATCATCCTTGTTTATGACCAATTTCTTTTACTGTTTTTTGCCTTTAGCTGTAAATTCAGGATTTAAAAGTTTGTCACCATTTTTTTAGAATCATTTCCTTTGAGCCAAAAGCTCACAGGAAATTTCTTCTTTTGTCTTTTTATTAGCTTTAAATTTAGGATTTAAAAGGGTCTATAACTGGAAACCGGGATCCCCGGGGCCCACTGGTGGTCCAGTAAGGCTGCAGACTCTTCTATTGTTTTTTTTTCCCTCCTCAGTTCTTCTCAGACCTGAAGGAGTCGGAGGAGAAGCTGCAGAGGATGCAGGAGGCCATGAAGAAGAAGTACAGCTGCGACCGCTCGGCCACCGTCACCCGGCTGGAGGACCTGCTGCAGGACGCCGCGGTGGGTGGGCCGAACCGGGCGAGGAGCCTCTGGGTCCGGGTGGCTGGGTTCTGGGTCCTGGGTCCGGGTGGCTGGGTTCTGGGTCCTGGGTCCGGGTGGCTGGGATCTGGGTCCT